TGTAATATGTCCAAATAGATATGTTGATCCATTATAGTCTCGATAAATTTTAATCTTCCTACTACTGATGCACTCATGTATCCCCAAACTAAAACACCGCCTCCTCCATACTTAACTGTGGGACACATGTTTGCAGGCTTTAAATGTTCGTTCTTTTTCCGCCATACCATTATTCTCCCATCAGACTCATGAATATTAAATTTAGATTCGTCACTAAATAATACTGTCTCCCAAAAAGAATTCGGCTTATTAACATGAGCTCTCGCGAATTCCAAGCGTAAAGATTTATTTTTTTTCTAATGTAGGGTTTTCATTGAAGAACCCTACCATGATATCTTTCTCTTCTTAATACATTTCTGATAGTTTCAGATGCAACAGTTATACTATAGTCGTCCTCAATCTCATTGCTCAAAGTTGGTGCACTAATTTTTGGATTTTCGCGAACTGCCTTTAAAATTGCTCTCCGATGAATGGATTACAATTTTTTTGGTTGACCTAATTTGGGTCTATCTTCGAAAGTTTTCAATTCTTTGTATCTATCTACAATATACTGAACAGTTGCGTATGATTTTCCAACGGTTTTCGCTATCTTTCTAAGCGACTGATCTTCATTTCTTAATCGAATAATAAGTTCTCGAATTGCAACTGGTACTTTCATAATTGATAATTACTTTGTCAAATTTGTTAGTCAGACTACTTCGTACTAATCTTATATGATTTGTGAAGTGGGAAACCTATCGCGTTTCCGTGGAAACAGATAAATAAGGCTAAGGAAAGACAGTGTATGGAGACTTTTTTGTCGGTCAGATAGATGGCTTTAATGTCTTCCCTTCCAAATTTTACCAATAGTAGGTAACATGGCAATTGTTTCATTTTGGTAACTCTCTGCATTCGTTGTAAGTAATAATTAATCAAGAAAAGTGTTCCTGGATATATTCTATTACGATGATATATTCTAATTAAGAAATGTTAACCGAGTGTATGGAAACTTTTTTGATCCAGTGTATGTGTTTAGCGGCATCTACGTGAAGTGGAGGTGGATGGTTGAACAATTTTTCTTGACCTGCCGCCTGAGCCTTCCGCCACTCGCACCAGCTGTCGGCTCCGATCGGATAATTGTCATGAATCGGATTTTCATTTGTGGAACACAAATGGTGTAATGTTGCAATGTTGTTATGGCTTTTCTCATATCGGTCACGGAATCTACATTTCGTCTTATCGCTAGTCCATAATACGTGGTTAACTTGTTAACTAATTAAAATGTCTGTTAATTTTCCTTTTCCACCAAGCTTTTCTGGTCATGGCCTGGCCTACGTACACACAAACGCTGACAAATCTGGTTAGGGACATAAAGGTTTTGGAGAAAGTAGGGCTGTCGAGGCCGCTAAGGAAACTGCTATTGACCGCGCGCCCGTATACCTGCGCGATGAGTACCTCTTTCCCGAACTGTATTTACCGAAACACTTTGAATTTTGCTGTATAACTTCAGGAATATATTCTATATCAATACTATTACTAATTGATGCAAAAAAAAGAAAAATCGATAATTTTGAAATTCTAAACTAGGTTCCCCCCTTAAATACTATGAGGAGGCTAAGAACGGAATTGTATTGAAGAAAGGGAAAACAAGTGATAGAAAAATTCTGTTACTAAGATGTCAAAATGTGAATATATTATTATTATAATAGATAGTAATTGAATATACATTCTTAAGCACAAATTATTGACAATAAAAGGATATTCAATTTAGAACAGTTTTCAGTAACACTTCTGACCATACACACACATCCATACAACTCATCAGAACAATATATGAGAATGTCGCTTGAATTTTATGTTTAAAATTTCTAATAAGAGAACTCTCAGAGTCAATTTTATTGACTACTGGAAATTATTTGCCAATGGCATTAAATAACTGAAAGGGTAAAGGAATTGGCTTACTTACAAATTTATCCAATGATTAAACTGATTAGATGATCTCTGATATTGCTGTCGATTTTCTGCTGAAAAGAGAAACACACACACAATAATACCCCCTACGCCATTAATGTAGAACTTTGAATTTAATGAGCTAAGGTAATTAATATATGAAAATAAAATGAAAGAACTATAGCTACCAAGTAATAGAATTAATTAATTAATTAATTAATAATAATAATAATAATAATAAATACATGTATTAATGTCTTTTGCGAGTCTCTTTATTAAATTGTTACTAAAAACAAATTCTAACAAAGCTAGGCTCAACCACTTCGCGGACTTCCCGACACGCATCTCGCGATTATACGTCGAAGAGTGTCGCGACTTTTTAATCTCGAAGGAGACCATAGTGGGCCTAGTCCGAAATTGTTTACGTTGCATTACTATACGCCTGTTACGTCCCAGCTTATCTGTGACTCTTTCTTGGGATCTTCGTCTTCAATTAAAGAGCTAAAGCTCACCTTAACTGTATTCGCTAACGGGAAAGAGCAATTCGGGATTGCAATGATTGTTTTCAAGGTTTAGCATTTAAATATATAAATAAATATGTATTGTTACAAAATAACGAGTTTATATTACAATATCGGTTTTGGGAAATCAAGTATACAATTATGTAGGTACGTTACCGCTTGTCGGTCTTACAGTTTGGTTGTACCAGCTATCTGTTGTGGTCCCAGGGCTGTGCTGTTGCAAGGATCTGTTTGTCGGCAACTATCACTCGCGACACGGGTCTTTACTAATTAACAACGGACTTTCCTCGGTAATGACGCGGCGCGCGTACGATTACTCTATCCGTGACTACAATAATGTAGTATTTGACTACCAAAGTGCGACGCTGAGTGCGTGTTCGATTGACGATAAAGGTTCGATGTGATCTTAACCGATTATACGTCGGACTTTCGTAGGTAATGACAACGCGTGAAGTTAACCTGTCCGCGATTACAAGATTTCGGTAATCACCAAGATGAGAACGTACTGACAGCGGAATAAAAAAAGAGCGCCGTGGGGCGTGTCCACGGGTTTATATATTAGCTGATCCTCGCATGGCACGAGCCGCGTTCGAGAACCTTCGCTTCGGCATCCGTTGAAATCGGGAGGGGTCCCAAGTTCAGCGGATGTACTGGCGTTGAGTGCTTACGCCTATTTCGCTGATTCGCAGGTCGCACGATTCGGTTCCCGAGAAACGGTTTCCGAATCGTATGTCAAGCGCATTCCTAAAAGTATCTGATCTTAACTATTCGCAATGCGAGGTCGATGAAAAGGGGCACCGGCAGGGCCGGATGTAACACGCCTAACGAATTAGGCTGCGAGGTTGATGCGTAATGAACCGTGATTCGTTAACCCTTTGTGCAGTAGGCGTATGTGTGTTTCTCTCCTTGTCTTAATCTATCTTTCTCTCTCTCTGAGCCAAGTACATTCCTTAACTCTTCAGTTACATTTATAATAATGATATTTTACGATAGATTAATAACTATTGCGAAATTATTAAGTCATTAACAATAATGAAACATATTTGGATATTAACTCTAAAATATGGCAATAAAATAAGCAAAAGGTCGCGTATTGAATTTAGCATATCGTTTAGGACTGACTGACATAAAGAAATATTAGAATTTTGAAATACATAAAATCAGAAAATAAAGTCAATAGTAGTCAAACTGAAATTAGGAATATTCCAGAATGCTCGATAGTCGGCATTATCAGACCACACGCGAAAAGACTTCAAGTTACAATCTGAATGTTCTCGGAAGTAAAACTGATCTATATACATCCGAAGTTTGATCGTAGGACCACGTTGATTTCAAAAAAGGAATTTGTTATACTAATAATCTGAGTCGTGTCGCCAAGAAATTAAGTAACTTATAACATCAAAGAGCTTCGGTATACTCGATTAGGGAGTTCCCAGAATGCAAATACATTATCGAAATACATCCGGTCGATGTGGACAAAATGACAAGAGATAAAATTTTGAAATTCGATACGAAACGTAACACAAGTGTACAAATCGATTTAAAAGTTCGGTATCAAATTTGAAACTTAGGGCATTTAAGGGTAATTTCAGGCATTTTTATTACCGGTATTATTACGTTGTAACACATGAAATCCTTCATTTTGTATTGGCAAATTTTTTTATCCACTTTCTCGATAAATATTTTTATCCTTCTGATCTTTTACGCATTAATGCAAAGTTTAGAGTCTCCTTAATTTTAATTTGCAAACATTTAAATATTTTCACTCATTTTCTTATGCATGTAAGTTGTACATTTTAACGATTCTCATGTTAAAGTTAGATTCAAATTTATTATGATAAATTGTCATTGAAATTTTTTAACGATTACGTATTTGAAGGTAGGAAACGTGTAATTTCTTCATTAAATGTACAGATTTCAATACCTCCTATTTTGATCAGTAACGTTTAATATAAAGGAAAAGTTATATTTGTTTAAAGTTTTCATTTAAATCGGACGTTTCATGTGCTACAACCTCGCACTGGTATTAAGGGGGTAGACACGGCACGTAACCTCTCCGATTTGGCTGGTCGGTATTACAGCAGATTTTTCTGCATATAAATGGTAATAGCCATAGGGACATGGCTGGCCGATGAAAATGAGGTGGCGCTTTCTGCTGTTTCTGAACGAAGCGAGAAACATAACTCGCTCTTAGCGAGCGAAAATGAGATACATATAGTCTCTCCGATTTGTTTCGACCTCTCTTTCCCTCCTCTACTGGGTGTCCCTTTTTATGTTGGCGCTCGGCGTGTAAAGAGAATCGACACCCCGGTTGGGTATATTTAGAGACGCGGTAGCGTCATTCATACATACGATTGCATTACAATCCACACACTCATACATATTCGTACATATAAAATATATAAAAATACAAACGCAACAATAATATAAAAATGCATATAAAGGGTGTCCCAGAACTCCTGTAAGAACCGGAAATAGGGGTAGCTGACACGATTCTGAACAACAATTTCCTTTGCAAAAATGTTGTTGGAGGCTTCATTTTTGAATTATTAACGAAAAATGAAGCCCCAACAGCCATTTTTGCAAAAGAAATTGTTGTTCAAAATCGTGTCAGCTACCCTCCATTTCCGGTTCTTACAGGAGTTCTGGGACACCCTGTATATTCACATAATAAAGTGTAAACATTAAGTATAAGCTTCATACAGGACTGGATTCATTATTAAGGAAACAAAATATAATTAAAAGAAAGCAAATGTAAAATATTAAAAATTGCAACATAATTCCATTAAAACATACATCCAGTCCTGCGTGCATAATTTTGTACACTCACATTAATAGGTCGCGTTAGAAGTGGATCCGAGTCCATTCTCTCTTCGAATCCACTTATAACGCGATTTACTCTACGTATATATTTTTCGACACTTATATGATACAATTATATATGATATATGTTGTCAAATTATTGCCATGTTCTGAGAATATGAAATCTAATTTTATATGCTCCGAAATTTGGTATTTAAGAATCGTAACAAGGATTATGTGCCATGTTCGAAACATTACCATAGCAAACAGATACGACCTTAGAAATTAAAGATATGCATCGACGTATATTCTCCGACATCGTTAGTGTTATAATATAAATGTAAACAAATTCTACAAAAAATTTTCTTACGAACAATTCGCGATACATATAGAATGGCAGCCTGAATAGGTAATTCAGGTGCACTCGAAACATTAAAATTTAATGTAATGGAAATAGTTTCATCCGTCGATGCACGTCATCATTGCTATCCCCACGTACAAATTGCGAATATGAATTTAGGAGTAGTGTGCGGTAATAGCAATGGAAAGTTCTGCATGTTGGATTCGTATTTCGAACACCATGCTGTCTAATTTGACCGAAAAAGTTCTCAAGGGCATCTTGGTTAAAATTACGCGGAATAAATGAATGAAATCCAAGACTCTGCAGGTGTGATTTTAAAAATTTTAAATTTCGAAGGGTCGTCACCCAATTCTGCAGAACCTTCGGACGCTCCTTATCCGCAGGCTTTCTTTTAATAAACTTCATGCTGCGAAAAACTGAAATTGCTTTATCCCAAACCTTAGTTAGGGTCGTATCTTTTCTGTGTGTCCGATTCGCGACTCTACTATTGACACTGTCGAACGTACTATTCACAAAATGAATAAGTTCAGCAATGTCAATCCCTTGATCCGACATTTCCCCCGTACCACACATACTTTTGGCCTTGTTACGATTCGAAAATGTCATAATGGATCCAACTGATCGACTAAAAACTTGGGCGCAATATTTAATTTTCATTTTCGGAATTTTTGAATAAATAACATGTTTTGCAGTAAGTTTCTCCAGGAGTTGGTTCTTAGAAGAAACATTACTGCTATCAATAAAATATAAATCTTCCACGTGTGACCATTTAGCCACCCGTGAAATATCATGTAAATTAAAGCTCAAGTTTTTCGTCAATAAATTGTTCCGGACACATTTTAATAAGTGGGGTGGATCAAACAGCGGTACGATTATGTTACTGTCGATTGCAATTACATCATGCCGCAGTATATTTGATCTCTGTAAGGCATTTCTTCGCGATGAATCTAATAAGCTTTGGATAGCTTTGCAATTTGTGCTTCCTTGGTCACAAACTGTTGTTACAACTACTATACCGGCCTGACTTGCACGGCGAACTATTTTTTTAAACATACGGACAAGGTTCTCAGCTGAGCTGGAACCTTTACGAAATAAATACGCAACAGGTTGTTTCCAAGGTCGCACACCATGTATGCCTTTCAGCACCGACACTGTGGCATGATCCGCGATATCTAAGTTACGCGAAAACCCGGAATCTACAAATCCATTAATAACATCTATTGTAGGATTATACTGCAACGACAGTGCTAAATTAATTTCATCAAAAAGCAGACATGCGTATCTGCTTTTTGGGTCAGTAAAAAACTCGCACTGCTGTTTGAGTTCCTCAAAAACATTATCGCAAATTCCAACTTTTAATGGAATTTGCGATATTAGTTTCCAAGGAGTTTCGATGCTTGGCAAAAGAAATAATTTTATATATCGATACGCTTTGGAACTTTGCTTATAAATAGATAAAGCTAATAGCTTCTCATCTTCGGTGGAAGCATCGCGCCGATTTTTGTTAATCCGCGTTGCGTATTTGGGCCAAGAGCATCTCGTGCAGGGTTATTGGCAGGCTTTCTAAAACCTGATGAACACCGGTCTGCACGAGATGCTCAATCTTCCCGATGCGTTGTCTTACTGAAGATCTCCGACGCCACAATTGCCTCGCAGATTTCAAAATCCTAGCCACAGTCTTGTAGATCTTGAGCTTCTGGGTTTGGTCAAGTTGCTCGACCTAATCATTTTCAGGATGTCATCTGTGGAAAGAAAATATATATAAGTAATGCATTTATGAATCACATTGAAATTAAAGGGGGGCGTTGAATTAGTATAATCTGCTTCAAATATAATCGCAAATATCGTGCCTAATTTGTTTCAGATGGCGCTCTCATATAATATCGCAACCTATTCTAGTACTAGCCATGTTGAGATAAAAATGGCAACAGTGCGAGAGTCCGGCTACCCTATCACTGATAGGCTATCAGCTTCGACCAGCCTCCCGGTCTCTCGCTACAATTGGCCACATATTGGAAAATAGGACTCCCGATCTGGTTTTTTGCGGTGTTGCCACGTTTCTCAGCACGGCTGGTACTAGAGTCGGCTGTGATAATATATAGGCGAGTAAAAGAATATCCTCCTTTTTCGGTTTTTCCCCGGATGGAACGTATTATTAAGAAAGTCTACCTCCGAAACTATCATAGCCCATACGGCACCTTTCGTTGCAAATATATGGAAATATATTCCTTGTAAGTCTACCGGAGAGTTCTGTCAGTTTCTATCACAACTCTAGTCACGTAAGCACATATCACTTCACACAAGACTAACGTGAATCAACTTTATTTTACTTATTTTGCTATGTCAGTATGTATGAAATAATATAATAAAAATAGAGAGGCACACATGCACCAAATAAACATGTGCTTACGTGTCGAGACTTGTTGTGATGGAAACGGGCAAAGCTTTCCGGTAGATATAATATTTAACTATTACATCTAGTATTTTTTAAAATATTTAATACCTTTAAGGCCTTTCCTGATAGCTGGTTGAACTTGATTCCTTTTGACAGTGCAACCTGTAATTGTAACAAAGAATTAATAGAAGCACTTTTTAAATGACACGCATAATACTAAATACCTATCATAACTAAAAAAAGGAATGCAATAGAAGATAATATTATTGTAAGGTAATACACTCACCTCTGGATGATCCAGGGAGCACATTATAGCCAAGTGCGTCGGAGTCTCTGCTGGTCCCAGGTCCCACGTTGTCCATTGGTCCCACGTTGTCCATTGGTTCCACGTTGTCCTTAGGTACCACGCTGACCTTGGGTCCCACGTTGTCCTTGGGTCCCACGTTGTCCTGGTATCCAACGGTGAGCACTGGTTGATCTATATTAACAAAATTATATAACATTATATATACACTTAATGTTGGAGGTCTTCTCATTTATATGTGGCGTATTAAGTGTATTAAGATCAAAAATTTACGTTCTTCTTCTTCTTCAATTTCCATTACAAGTTCCTCCTGTTGTTCGATAGATGTGGTAGGTGCTAATAAAATTTAATAAATATTATCATTAATAATTTGTTAAATATAGATTAAAAAGTGTATAGTCAATTATTACCTGGTAAGTTACAGCTTGGTACTGCATGACTTGTAAGCTTTGATTCAACGCGATAATGAATTTCGAAGTGATCCCCACAAACCACTCGATTTCTCAACCGGTTGCGAGGGAGTTGGAATAGATCTTCCGTTCCACAAGCTTCAAGCCATGTTAAACATCTATCACTGTCCTTTTGGCAGACAGGGGAAGCTGAACATCGGCTGCCTGGTGTTTGTGCACCCCAGTACAGCACATTTTTTGTGGGACCTATAAATATATATTTACATAAAGAAGAAATTAATAATTAAAAATTAATAACTAAAAATTTCGAAATTTTTTCTAGGTATCATTTCAATAAATAATGTACAGTGAGCCGAAAAAGTATTCGGACACTTCAAATGCTTTTAAAATGCAATTGAAATGAATTGAAAGGAAAGGACAAAGCAGGACAATGGAAAGCATGGGGAAACCCCATCTAGCCCCGCCCTGCCCCACCCTGTCCCTCCCGTTCGTATTATAACAAAGGAAAAATACGGCTTTTATATATTTTGAGTAATTCTTTAGTATTTTTATAAAAATAATAATTATTTACCTCTTATTATTATCCATAATCGGTATGAACTAAAAACACTATCGCAGAACCGACAGCACACAGCAGCACACAGCACTTACTTGCACCATGCACTTACATGCACTCGCTATCACGTTATGACCATATGGAGTTGAAATTTTGCCGAGCGCGTTCACCATAGAATAAACGTACACAGATTATGAACTCAATGGCGCGAAAGGAGTGACAGTAGCGCCATCATCCCCTACGCGCGCGAGTTAAAGTTAAGTTCGTTACAACAAGACTTACTGCCATGCGTTCTTTGTGCTTTTGAAAACTTAAGGGACTGAATCTAGTATTGTAATATAATAAATTGTGGGTTATTCATATGACATTAATTTCATTTATAAACACATACAACTTATAACTTATAAATAACACATACAAACTTTATTTTACTTGCAAATTAATGTAGAGCTTAAAATAAAAATACATTTGTCTTTTATTGTAGTAAGTGTAGAGTCTACAATATACATAATGTGTCTGAAGCCAGATATAGTAAAGAGACCAGCTTCAGTTCTTTAAGTTTCCAAAAGTACACACAATGCATAGCAGAAAGTTTTGTTGCAAAAAATTTAAATAATGAGAAAATGAACTAATCCACTATTTGTAACACATAATTTATTGTATTACAATAATATAGAAAAAGAGAGGTCAGACTTAGTCCTTTAATTTCTCAAATTAATTTCACACATGACAGAAAGTCTTGTTGCATTTAAATATTATTGATAAAGCGATTACATTTTTTCTTTAATAAATTTCTTGCAATTAAACTTCCTGCAATGCGTTCCGCGTACTTTTGAAACCTTAAAGGATTCAAACTGATCTCCCACTTTCTATTATTTGAAGTCATTCGCTATAGAAATTATCTTTATAAAAAAAAGTGAGATCCCCATAAAAAAATTTAAAAAAGTAAAAAAATTACGCCAAGTACATGAAAAAGTGGAGGACTTAAAGAGTAATCATAGAAAAATAGAAGATGCCCCTAAAAAAATTCAAGAAAGTAGAAAAATATATGAAATCGAAATGAACTAACAGTACATGAAGGTGCTTTCCAGCAAAGTGCAAAGGCGACACTGTATAACACAATGAAAAATTCTGTGCTCTCCAACTATGCGCAGCTAAAATGCTGTGTTCAGCAGTGCAGACGTTTAAACCCTAATGACAACTCATGTAAACTGACTGCTCCGCACTTTGGCGATGAAATGAAGAAGCTAAATAGTGTATCAAATGCTTGGCGTGCCCAGGCAAGGTCGTGTCGATGAATAAGAATTATTTTAAAACGCTAAATAATGAAAGTGTACTCATATTGTCAGAGTTTTGAACTGACAAATTATCTGAAAGTCTGTGAGAGTGAAAGTATGGGTATTGATGATATAAGAATGCCTTGCAGAAATCTAGGCAAATTTCTAAACAGTCTCAGTTTGTGGCAGGTACGCTATTTAGCTTCTTTATTTTACTGCCAAAGTGCGGAGCAGTCACTTCGCATGAGTTGTCATTAAGGTCTGAACGTCAGCACTGTTGAACATAGCATTTTAGCTGCGCATAGTTGGAAAGCATCGAATTTTTCATTGTGTTACACAGTGTCGTCTTTGCACTTTGCTGGAAAGGACTTTAATGTACTGGCAGCTCATTTCGATTTCACATATTTTTCTACTTTCTTGAATTTTTTTAGGGGGATCTTTTATTTTTCTATGATTATTCTTTAAGTCCTCCACTTTTTCATGTACTTGGCGTAATTTTTTTACTTTTTTGAAGTTTTTTATGGGGTACATTGTAAGTACGTATAACCAAATATTCAAGTCCGACCAGCTTCAAATCCATCTAGAGTTTCGAAGCGTCGAAGAAGTAAAAAAGCCAGTTTGATGAAGAAGAAAGAGAGACTGATAAGGAATGTTTTGTAGGTGTCTGCCTCCGATTGTTTTGATTTTTGGATATGTTTTGAAGGGCCGAAAAATAAGATATACCTACTTTTTATTTTGTCCCGTTTTCATATTTAGGGGGTGATTCGATATAAAGTTTCAGCTGCAATAGGCTATCTCCGAAACTATCATAGATAGAAGAAATCTTTTTAAGAAAAAGTTTCTTGGTTTTCTATCTGCATATAATATCTAACCCAAAATTTTGTAAAAAAAATAATTTCTTTGTAATAAAGAATTTGTTTCTAACATTATTTTAAAAGTAATCGCAGTTTATAGAATAACAAAAACGAATCTATTTTTTTTTCTGAATCTATTGATGTATAACATGTACCTGATTATATATGTGTGTTGTTTACGAAAAACAATAGCTATAACCTATAACAAATTTGACATGATCGCGACCCGGTGCGGCGTATCTGCGCGATGCATACAATACACTCCCGCTCAGAAGTATGTGGACACTAAATATCTCATAATAGTTGCAAATCTATTAATGTCAATTGTATTATTTATCTTTTGATATGTTTATGTTATATTAGCGAATATATTTTATTAATAGTCCTTTTTAATATCACATGAGTAATGATAAAAACCTTTAGAGATAACTAGATAATATTATCATTTCTTTTTACCAAACTTGGATACTATTAATTTTTCATTGTATCCGAAGTAATATTATCTCATTTATTTTGTAATATTTCGCCATAATTGTGTTTGATATACTGAACATTCTTTCTGAACTTTTCTATCTAAACGATCCCATAGTTCCACTCAAAAATTAAATATAGCAGTCGAAATATTTAATATAATAAAATGTTGTTAAATAGATCCAATATAGAATTTAGCAGCAAAAGTTGTATAGTAATAATTTACGATGTACATTAATTATTCATTGTGTTGTGCCCTGACACCCGATTATTGCATCATATGATCGACCATCGCTAATCGAGTAACGACCCGATTATGCCCGGTCAAGAATGTTCGAAATCAGCGACATACTTTGACGCGAGGACTGCAGCTTGCAGCACTCGCGCTTGGCAACATGACCATATATGGTCATGCCCGATTGCCAATAAAGACTATAAAAACAATAACACCTTGTAAAAGACAGTTTTGAGCGCATTTTGAATAAAGTCATTGTTGAGAGTACATCGCTGGAGTTACGATCCTTCGACTCATCATCGAACACCGGTGAATTCCAATTCTTTAAACGCTCCGAAACCCACGATATCCCAAAACCCTTTAAAAAACGCCTGAGGGCACAACAATTTGGTAGCAGTGGTGGGATATCGTCAAATCTAACGGTTCGTGAAATACAACTTCATTAAAGATCGTCGAGCCAAGAGTCAACACTGACAAAATACCGGTTCATTGCTGGCAACGCCAAACACAAAAAAACTACCGTTTTGCTACTGAGGTGGCATCAAGGAGCTGACTCTGGACGTGCTCTGAGGAGACATACATCAGCCCAAAACGGCAAGCCGGGACCAGTCGCTGGTGAGGACAACACGACCAAACGACGCCAAAGGACTGATCTGAGGATCATCGACATTGAAGGAGGAATTTTGTAAACGGTCATCCGAGGATATTCAATTCCGGACCATCTTTCAAAGTCGGACATCAGGAGCTAACGGGCGTTCAAGGAAAAGCAGTCAATACCAGTCCGAGGACCAATTGACAGCGAGAGCGAAGCATCTTACAGCGAGCAGCCGAGTGCAGACCGAGGACCACCGGAACGCAGAACAACGACATCCACAAAATGCAGATAACTCTACTGCTGTAAGTCCTAACTCGCATGTATCATAACAAATTGCAAACCAGAATCTTGTATGTCGGAACAAGGTAACGATATAGATCGTTTTCGATTACCATATACTAGAGTCATTTCGAGAACGTTTGAATCAATATTTGACAACTATTTGAATTATAGCCGTCACGTAGCTACGACTTCACCTTTTTCCGGCTCAGCGATAACATTTCGTAGACGCATACGCGCACTATCCATACACTTTGATTTCGATTCATTAAGCGGCAGTGAAAACTTTGAACACGTAATTAGGGAAAGAGGATTCCTTATAGAAAAACACGATTTTAGTTTATTGCAAACAGAAAATATGGCATCTAACGTACTAAACAGCCTTGCACTAGTAAAAGAATTGAGGGAAACGTCTCCCACAGAAGTGTTAGCGTTCATCGATTCGTGTATGCTAGCATCAGAGTTAACGACACCAGACAATCGACCACTTCTATTGCGAGCTATTTTGATTACAAAACTAACTGGCAAAGTGGCAATGGAATTAAGATACCGCGAGATAAACAACCTAGAGACACTCAAAACAATATTACTTTCTTTATATACGACAAAACGATCATTAGGTGCAGTACAGACCCAATTTTGTAATTGTAGACAGCGAG